ACCCTAAAATTTATAAGTTTATATGTGTCAAAAGTAATCAATCATTCCCATGTCTTGAGGGCATCCATGCCACAGTGTAACTAATCTGCAGGCTCAGCAGCCTTAACCCTTTAGGAAGTGACAGTAATGTAGTGTTGTAAGGTAACTCTCCTCATTTGCTCTGTCCATGGGCTCATTCAGATGTCATGCAACACTTGCTTATATGTGAGTGTGTGTGTGTGTGTGTGTGTGTGTGTGTGTGTGTGTGTGTGTGTGTGTGTGGTGTGCAGACAGCAGTTATTAGAGAGTTTTGGAAGCCCCACTGGTCCCACTAAATTAATGACCTAGCAGCAGGAGGGATGTGATGGGCACAGTTTCTGCCAAACGCCTGGCCGGCTTCAAATGCCTGGCTAGCCTCACACACTTGGCTAATCCATCAGTGGCTTACTTTCACAATAGAGACCTCCTTAAAATAAAAGCTCAGGCTAAAAAGAGTGGGAGCAGAGCAAAGGAGGGAATTAATTTTTCTTCTATAGCTTCTTTTTTGTCTGAAATAAAGTACACTACATTCTAGCTTGTTTGGTGAGAGAGAGAAGAGAAAAACAGCAACAAAAGTTTTCAGGTGTGAAAGACTGGACTTATGACATATGTATATTTATTGTGCAAGAATTTTATTTTTGTAACTTTTTTTTCTTATCCGATATCCCTATTGGACCTTAGCTATAAGTAGGGGTGGGATTTCTCCATTTCTCTCATTTCTCTTACATGGTTTTTTACATTTTAAGGAAAACAGTGAGTTTTCTTTGCCTTAAAGGAGCTATTTTTAAGTAAGCATGCCAACCAGTGAGCTCCAGCCTGGTCGGACTGTCTCATCACTTTCCGATACTGAGTCACTGTAGTGTCCAGGCTGCCCTGAAGAAGTAGCACTGGTTAGAGGATGTATTATAACCTTGTCTTGTAAATGTAACAATGGCTGAAGCTCTTGACAAGACTGTTAAGTAAACAGCTGTTAATGCTAACATTGGCTGTGTAGCAGTAGCAAAACTTAAAAATAGCTCTTTTCAGAAGCTACTGTAAACCGTGGCAGCATAGTATGTGGTCCGGTGAATCCAGCTGTGATGCTGTATGTAATATTGTCATCCAAGCATAAACTTGACTCAGCTTGACACCTTCAATAAACTTTTATTGAAAAAAGTACCAATAAACAACAAGAAATCCAGAAAAAAAGATTTGTAGAGCAAAGCTCCATATGTACAGCATATTGCACTACATAACAAATTGTCTTTACTTCCATAGTATATCAACAAACAAAAAATATATATAAACACAAAAAAATGAGTGCACAGTAGAGTCTCGAAAACACACAGTCAATGTTTACAAAAATGCTACATTTTCGCTGGGTCTCATTTCTTGGTATACAGAGAGTGTGTGATAATCAAGACTTCGTTGAAACTGAGCAGTTAAAGGCATATTCCAGGGTTTTAGAAATACATTTACACTTTATCTGTTCTGTAAATAAGGGCAGATATTTCATAGCAATCAGCTCACGAGCCAAATTAACCACAACCATGAAATATTTTGGTTTGCTTGGCTTTGTTTATACACCACGATGAGATGTGCAAGGAATGTTGCAAGTTCATTTTTATAAAAAAAAAATGCCCTTGATCTCATGGACTTCAAAAGGATCCTACTCGTATTAAAAATTATCTTACAAGCATGAACTGTCCTTATAAAAGCAGACCCTTTTTTTCTTAAGAAAATACATTTTAAAAAAGTTAAGAAAGACCATGAAGAAGAAATGTTATCATTAAAAAAATTCAAAATCAAAACCTTCCTGAAAAACTTCAAATTTATATAAAGTGGACTACAAAATTCAAGACACTGCGGTTTCCATAAAATACATGTCCCACTCTAGGGATTTTCTACACTCACATATGCTGTGATGAGTGCAGATTGGGAACCTCATTCTAACAAAATTATACAGGGCACCATGGTGGCTTGTAACCCTTTCCAATGTATCAAACAGGCCATCAGTCCACAGCCTACTTGGTCAATGCACAGATATACAGCTGACACATGGCAAGATTAGCCCAAGAAAACAATCCAGAGTGTATACTATACATTAACACATGACAGATAAGGGACCCATGGGATCTCCAGATACAAAGTACTTTCCAGTGCATGTTGATTACAACACAATGATCAAGATTAAAGAATTGAACACATTAACTAACGCCCTGTGACTTGAGAGGAATATGAAGGCAACCTTTTTATGTGTGTTTTGAAGCACTTCTAACGACGTCTGTATCATTAGCAGTGGGTGGGAGGGGCAATGACTCATTAATTACAAGGGAAAGGTCACATTCTGTTGCAAGATTAAACTGTATTGAAGCTTACTTCTTTTCTAAACCACATATTGTGAATCTGACCGTGATGACTGGGGGAATTGGGTGGTGGAAGATAATGATAAAAGTCTGAACTGGTTGGGCCCATCCCTGGAAAATCACAACCTTTAAGTGAAAAACTCCACCCCAAAATCTATTTTTTCAGTATCAAACACCCACCCCTGTAGGCTTTGAAGGTAACTGTGAGAGGTTTGTTGTTTTCTTCACCATGAAGTGCAGCAGCTGTGGTCACTGTAAATGCATTTTGGTTGCTTTCCAAAAGGACCGTTATGAATTCAAAGTGACCATAGCTGCTGGTCTACAGGGAAGGCCAAACTATGAACTTGTTACAGCCCCCATTTAAACCTACAAGTTGTGGGGAATACTAAAAATGTAGATTGTGGGTTCATTATCACATGAAGCAATGTCAGGCACAATGCAGGCCAACTTGCTCTGCACAGAGTCAAACAACTGAAGAATATACAAGTCCAAGACCAAAACAAAAGAAAAAGGAAAATAAGACGTAATTGCACACACAAGTGTATACAGTAGAAATGGGCAAATATACAAACAATAAATAAAAAGGAAAAAAAATAAATTAGAAAGAAAATGAACCAATGAACAATACCCATGTAATGAAGGAGCAGCACAAAGAGGAAGTCAAGAGCCAATGGTGAGACGGGGCACTACAGGGACTGGCTCAGCGTTCAGGATCCGCAGGAAACTATAACCACAACCACATTCAGTGCACCTCACACGCCTATTTACTACATGCTCAGTAGACTCCCCGTCACCACCACAGTCAGCAAGTCAGCCTCAGACTCCTCAGTCAAACTGTACCTTTATGTGTGTGCTGAGAAATTGGTCAAGAGGAAATTTGAACTGAAGAGGAAATAAGAGTTGACAATACCTCGAGAGGCTTCGTCATAAATACATGGGTGAAAACGCTGCTCTTCTTCTAACCATGTAACAGATTCTCAAGGTTACCAGTAGCCCACAAAGACTGTCCCTGAGACATCTTTAAGAAAATGAGAGGAAACCCTAATTATGCAGTGATAAACCTGACACATTGTAAGGAGCACGTAATTACAGACCCCTGATATGTACTGCTCCTTGGGTCCAAACATCGGCCTGGGTTCAGCAATGGAAAATATAACAAACAGCATCTTCAACAGTGTCTTCAAACATATTCATATTTCAACAATAATTACAGTCTTTTTCACTTTTGTTTCATTTCAGAGACTGTCTGCTGAGTGAGTGGTGGTTACACATGCTAACAATGTCCCAAATCTGGATCTGAGCACCAAAGACAATACAAGACCACCCAACAGAATATCTCATGATGTAAAGCACCATAAAGGTAGCCAGAGAGGAGGAGATTCTGTTTCACAGATTGATGATGGAGTATTGTTTGGTGTTCAGAGCACACACTGGCTGTGAAAAGCAAACCAGGACTTAGAAACCTTCATTCGAGGAATGTGGCTCTATTGTAACTCTATTGTAGCCTGAAACACTGGCATATGAAATTTTCAGAACCCATATCCAATACAGAGTCCAGACTGTGTTCAGTCAGGTCAATTAAGATTGATTATTTTGTCAGAAATCAGAAATGTTGTGGCAAGAAAACAAGTCATAACTGAAAACCTTCATACAAGACAGAGGTTAGCTAGGTAACAATCTGAACTCTTGAAGGGTGTATGTCTAGTGCAAAAACAGTGGATCCACAGCTCCACTTCAAGGGCATGGAGGTCTGAAAACAATCACATGAAAAGAACACATCTAAAACTAAGGGGAAAACTTGTATCGGAGAATGAGAACGGAAACGAGGCCAAACGGAAAACTGAGTAACTGGTTGAAATTAATTTCAACATCGTAATGGCAGTTGAGATGTTATTTTTGGAGGGAAAGAACTTGTTACTTATCTACAGCAAACAATGTGCTTAATGGTATAATTTAGTGCACGGTGCTAGAGCTTCAAAAGTTTTCTTCCTTGCTGGCAAAAGTCAGCACACCATTAATTTTAATCTAAATATCCGGTAATGTGCTACATCACTGACATCATTCAGCCGCACACAGGTAGCTGTAAGTAATACATGTTAGATTAACTGGCAAGATGCCCTCTACAATGCGCAGTAACAAACACCCTTGAGCAACTACGATGTCTTTGAGAAAACTGAATCAGTGTTGTCTGATAACTACAGGGATAAAATGGCAACATACAATGATACTAGCATATAGTCCAAAGTGGTATATGGCAAATGAAGCTCATGAATAATAGTTTAAGTGATTTGTTCAATAATTGGGCGAAACCTCACAATTTTTAACAGTCTGTTGATTTTACAGTGATTCCATTGGCTTGTAGTTTTAATTGGGTTGTTTGTTACTGCTCAAACGTCTTGTAAATTAACGTAACACCTGTTAGTTACAGCTAACCACAATTTTTGTACTTCTTTTTTTATATTAATTTGCAGTGTCATTAATCTTGTTGACAAATTTTGGCAACAGCATCAACCAGTGCTTGCTTTCAGTCTGACTGAATGCAGGTTTGTTGACAGTCACCAGACTTGTTTGACCTGTGAGTGATGTTCAGTTCCTCACTCCGCCCTGAAACTTCCCGAGCCATCACAAAAAAAAAAAAAAAAAAAACGAATTATTTGAAATGTAGCTGGAGATAAAGATCTGTGCACATTAACAGATATTTAGATTACATTTCCTAGTGTGCAAACTTTTTCGTAAAACTTTACTTTGTTCCTAATGTTTTGAATGAAACTGAGGGATCATGTTCATACTTAATACCATACCAAAGAAAATGGAGGAGAACGAAAAAACACAAAGACAAAAAAAAGGAAATAAGAAAAGACAAATGATCCATTGAGGTGGGGTGCAAAATGCTTTGTTCTGAGAAGTTGCCTCTTTGGAAAATTAGTAAATCAACTTGACTGGTCACCTGGGAAACCTCAGAAAAGAAAACCTCACACCACATTTCCTAACCATCTCATCTTGCCTGTCAAAATTGCTCAATACTCATTCTGGCAGAAGACACTGAATAAGGCATTCCCAGGGTCTGTGGAGGTCATTAAAGATGGATACATGTTGAAGTGCAAAAAATTTAACAAGAACAATGTACTGTACAAAACTACAACACCACACGTATACCAAAATATGAACATTGTCCTGTAGAGGAATCTCGGAGCATCATGGCATCTTCTTGGAAAGAAAAAAACACACGACCTTTTATAAAAGTTGGTTGTCTCCGTCCCGCGGTGACCTTTTGTCTCCTTTCTATTTCCCCCCCAAAAAACAGACCCGTGTTAAGATTTGACAGTGCCATTAGGAGTCCAGTTCCTCAGAGATGAAGGAAAGGGATGTGAGGGGAAGACCCCCTCACCTCCGTCCTGCTCCACCTCCTCCAGCAATTAACCCCCTGTCAAACAGAAGGCTGAGCAGAGCTACGGCCAGGCGCCACCACAGCGGCCCCTGGTTCCTTTGGTTTTGATGATACTGAAACAACAAATAAAGATGAAACATATGTCAGTGAGTGCACTCTAGTGAAACTCAATCACACAATACAGTGCTAGAAATAATCACTGGTTTGGGTTTTCAGTGTGAGCCTTAGCTTGTGTTGGCTGTGATGTGCCTTGATTGACAGTGAGCAGAGTGAAAAGGGTCAACTGCGAAGAGGGTAAGACAAAACCAGACACCGGAACGATGCTGATATTTTCACAACAGTCTGCTTCTGTCCCCAACAATACTTATTGGAGAGGCCTCCCTTTGTGTGTGGGATCCCTACACAATCCGGGTTTCCCAGTAGACATTCCAAGCCATAAACACAACTCATACGGTCACACTTTTTCTAATGTTTCTGGCAGAGACCAGCAGCCAGTGGCGCAGGAGGAGACTCTCTCAGGTTTGCGAGCCAATTGGATTGTGTGTGATTAGGGGGGGGGGGGGGGGGGGTAATGCTATCTCTGCCATTGAGAAGCTGAGATAAGATAATTGCACCAAATGGGATTAGGGAGTCCTTGATGAGAGGCAGGGAGAAACACTGCAGGTACAGTAGTCCAACAGCTCATGAGCAGACGAAAGGCAGATTCCAGACTCCACCACGCCTGATAATACTGTTTCTATTTTCAGAACATAAAGGTTGTAAAGTAACTTGAGATTAGTTTTTCATGACAATGCACCAAAATGTACTACCTTCTCTTGGCAAAATATCTAAAGGCAGAGATTAGATATGCAATGTTTACATGACTGCTGAAGTAGTGTCCAAACATTGACCTAGTTACCAGACAGAGAACTGCCATTGTGATAAGCCTCTGGGTTTCTATACTCTTTATCAATATGTGGTGAACATTGCATGGTGTTGCATAAGCTTTGCCAGGTTTCAACCAGCGTATGTACTCACTACTTGCTTACTCTTACTTGCTGTTTGTTCAAAAGAAAAATCAAGATGTAAAAGAGAAAATCACAGGAAAGACTGCTGCAGATCTTGATAAAACCAGTTCTCTGTTGGATGACAAAGCTAACTCTTGCCTGGGGATATTTTGATTAGGACATTATAATAGCATAATGTCTGCTTCATATAAACATAGGCAATATTTATATGCAGCACAGAGAGGATGAGCTCACCATGATACATCTGAGGCACTGTTGGCAGCCAGCATGGCTCGACTTGGCAAACCTTGATTCTTTTAAATTTAAAACTAAATTATATGAGACTAGAGTTAGTTACAACTCTGGGATCAGAGAAGAGTAAAGCAGAATGACTGTGCAATTATATTTATATTGTATGTCAATATACGTAATACTTTATGGTGCTTACGGTTTCAACATTCGATAGTAAAAGCTGCAGGAGTAAAATAAGTCCACTGAGGGATTTATCACGCTGCAAAGCTTGTGTTTAGTACAAGCTACATGAGAAGCAATTAATCTTTATAAACAGAAACAGAACGTTCCTGTGACGCTGCCCTCTTGCCCTCCACTCTATCAAGCTGAGAAAGCCATCGAGAGAGAGTGAAAGGTGTCCTCAGGCCTGTCGCAACTTAGTCGTGACTGTCAAAATGAAACTTTGGATCTATATTTAGCCAGTGATAGAGCGGCAGAGTCTGGCCAGATGCTCGGTGTCATCACTCTGACACTAGCCTGATCACTGTGTTATCAGTGTCCCATGCGGGCTGTCTGTCAAGCCAGCTGCTCAGAAGCTCTGCCTTATCGCTTGAGCAAACAGGCCAGCCTCGATAGCAAGAAACTGTGGATTAGTCACATCAGGGAGGAGACAAGGAGTCAAGGAAAAGTACAAACAAAGAGCAGTGGTATTAGATGATAGAGAACAGCACAAATGGACACCAGCATCAACAAAAATCATCACACAACAATGAATGTAAAGAAAATATCCAAAATCAGCCCTAATGTGTTTTTATTTCTAGTCCAGCGCCACACTCCTCCCCCCTCAACAAGTGCCGAAAGGAGAGGTTGTCATGCCCTCACTGGAACAGTGAAGAGATAAAGCCACAAACACTGCGTATGTGCAGACACACACACTCAGACACAAGCACGCGCATGCACACACGCACTCACATACATACACACACACACACACACACACACACACACACACACACACACACACACGTGTGCGATATTCAACCCTGCTTTCAACACCTCCTATCGAAAGCACCAGGAGTCGGCTCTTTTAAAAAAACATGGGGATGAAACCTAACTCTGCTCCTTGCCCTGTGCCGGCTGAAGCAGTCTTCCTGCCATTGTGACTGTCATTATTGCCGTGTCTCAAATGGCGGGCCGGCTAATGTCAGCCATCCTCTGGGGGCCTCGTGGTCCCCTCCAGCCCTATCTGACTGAGGAGCAATTTATCTGTCAGCATCCACCAGCACCCCTTCGCTACCTAATCCCTCCTTTCGCCAGGGGCCACAGGCTCCCATGGAGAACACTCACAGCCACATTGCTCCCAAATCCATCAAGAAGATGGCAGTCCAAAGGCACTTGGATTGCTTAGGGACAAGTGTCTGCATTGACTAACTGCAATCACCTACTGACAGGAGCAGACAGCAATGAGAACTGAAGAACAGTAACACTATTATCAAGTGAGAGTTTTTGTACTGACTGTCAGACCGTGTGATAGTGAGAAGTGAGAGACAGCAAAAAGCAGAAAAACAAGTATGGGTGTATTCATGCATGAGCATGTACACATGCACGCACGCACAATACAATTAATTGCACAACTCAAGTCAGAAATAGCAATTAGAGAGAAATCACAGTGGGATCACGCATCTAAAACACACACCAGTGCCTGGGTTATAAAAACCTCCCTCTGCAACAGACAGTCAACACACACACACTGGCAGAAACGTAGTTAAGTGTCAGCAGTTGTCATGCTGCAACTTGGCATTACAAATTCTCGTACTCTTCATAATGTCTGCAAAAACATTATTCTCTTTATCGGTCATTCAGAACCACAATATGTATCTGTACAGGATGTGACTTCACAGGGCTGCTCTCACTCTGACTGTCCTCGCCGTTGTTTACTCAACCAGCAAAACGAGCCCAAGCCACTTCCTCATCCCCTGACCCAGGCCTGCCTCCGTTGTGCGTCAGTAGATCCCAGTCGTACACACACTTCACAGCAACCCCACCCCTCCCCTGTCTGACCGTCTGGTTGTCTATGTGTGTCTGCCAGTGTCACAATACATGAGTCATGCTGAGCTGCCAGGGTATAAATAACTTCAGTTTGATAAGCGCATGAGAAAATCAGAAACTGTCTGACACTTCAGGTTATGAAGTAAAAAGAAAGAGTATATTATATGCAGGGCAGGGACGGCTCCATTTCCCAAAAGTGAGGTTTTAAGAATATAAGCTTATACCATCATTATGGATATCACCCCTCCCCTGATTATGGCTGCGCAGACCTCTTATTTGGGTGTCTCCTGTGGCCGCTCCTTGCCGAGGGAAGGGGCTGACTGGAGACTCCTTGCAACCACAGCTGCTTCCCCGGGGCTCACGCGCTGAGCTTCGGGTTACAACATGTTTACCTACTCCCGCCACTTCTGCTTTTTCCTGGACGTATCAGTATGTGTGGATGCGTGTGTCTAAACGTGCCGCATGTGTGAGTAAATATGTACGTTCGACTGTTTATCACTTGTGCAACGAGACATTCGCACCCTGCGGAAAGTCTCCCGAGGGTTTGTGTATATTTTTGATGGTTCAGCAAAAGAAGCGACAGTGTGCCACGGTTTTTACAACACACCCACATAGAAGTGACATTACGCAGCACATCGAGTCAGTGGACAGTGTCACCCTGACCACAGTGCTGGTGTTTAGTTTGAGGCCAGGCATCCTCCATGCCACTTGCCTTCACAGCACACGGAGGAAACAGGAGAGAGAAAGGGAGAGAGAGAAATAAACAGGAAGAGGAGGCAGGGGGAGGGCCTGGGGTTGGCAAGGTGGGGGAAGGGCTGTCCTGGTTCAGTCTTTGGCTTTAGGGAAGAGAGAGGAGGGGGGGCTGGGCTGAAGTTCTGCATGTGCACAGTCTCTCCAAAACAATTATGGAGCAAACAAAATAAAAGAGAGCAAACTTTTGACCCAACATGAAGCTTTGCCAGATCAACATGAGATCCAAAAATGGATATAAAAAAGTGTGTAGATGGTGTTGTTAATGGGTGGACTGCACTTTTCTGCTCTGACTTAATAAAAGCGCTCTTATCCTGACACAGTTACACAAAAAGAGACACACTAACACACACTGTCCTCTAGTTTGATGGCGGTGGTGATATGCAGAATCAGCAACACAATTGTAAAACCAGTGGAAACCCAAAATAAAAAGCCCATAGTTTGACCTATTTAATCTACTGATATTATGAGCTTTCAGTAGAGACAACATAACACTGTTATAGATAAGTAAAGTTTCAGTTTACAACTGAGACCCGCAGCCTCCAGCCCACAACAGACTAATCACAAACAGCAGGTAAATCAAGGTGGAACACTGTCTGTCATTATATTATCATAGTGAAAGTTTGATTTGTAAAATAGTGTATCACCCTGGCAATAATGCATTTTATTTTGTCAGCTTGGCTTGAGTGTCTTATCTAAGGGCTATCTAAATAACAGGAAAGAGATTTGTTTGCCTGGTGGAAGTTACAGGTAGCAATATATTAGTCAAATGAATCGGAGGAATATAATCTTGTGTCAGCTGTCAGAGGAATACCTAGAACACTGAAGGCCAATTCTGTTACTGCTGAAGGTATAACTGGCAAGTTGCACTTATTTACTGCAATCAAACTAGAGGCCGAGATGTCTTAATTTTGTGCATCTTTCCTCCTCACCAGTTGTAGGTGTTCCCGGTGAAACTGGTCTCCTATCAGCTGGAGTTTCTGACCAATGCAGGCCTCCACACTGCGCGCCACAGGCTGCTGCCGGGGTAGCTGCTCCATCCCGTTTCGCTCCTCTCCGCTTCCTTGTCGCCTCGCTTCCTGATCCCCAACAAGCTCAAAATGTGCCGGGAAGTGCAATCGAAAACCTGCGTTGCCTGTGGAGTGTCAAGGCTGATATTTATTATTTTGTAAACAACAAAAGTGTTCGGTATAACAATCTGGACAACAGCAATGACACCTGATAGGCCTTACTGTGATTAAGATTATGCTGATAACACAACAGATTCGAAGAGCCAAGTACTGCTGACTGCGCCTTTGACCAATCCGACTTTAATCACAACTTTCCCAACTTTCCCTGCTGTTTTATTTCATTTTAAACACTATGAGTCATTGAAGAGTTTCATAAGTCACTCACACACATCAGCCTTGCATGACACAGATTTGAGGTCAGTCAGTTGTTATGGAGCTACTTTGGAATGATTACGTGTATATGGCGCCAATGTAACTTTGCTGTCACTGATAATCAGTTCTCTGTACAGTTGCTGCTTACACAGGTGAGCACTCCTGTCACGTCCATTCAGTCACAATGCCAGTCTGGCGCCTTTTGAATAGCAAAGCAGCTGGGTACACTCCATACAGACCATAAAAGCTGCCGTGATCACGACTATCAGGCGCCAGGGGTGAGATCAGTACAGCAACATTGTTACCCATTTCTCACAGTAAATCTCACATAATAGTTTCGTGCTTCAGTTTTACAACACGTTTATCACGCACAGCGCAAAGTTCCATTTTCTATTTTGAAATCCGGTATGTCGTCAGCCTCACCGTAGAAGAGTGGTCTGGGCTCCTTTGCGACTCCACAGGGCAGCATGCCGTTGTTCAGTGCCAGGGCTGGGCCAGGTGTTTGTGTGCCCCGGTCTTCACACTTTATCTCCCTGAATGTGGTGCGCCAGCAGTGGGGGTCTGGCTCAAACACATCATCCTCCTCATCGTCCATACGGGGGCACTATGAGATGAGCAACCTTAAAATCAGCAGGACAGAGAATAAAAGTTATTACAGCAGCTGAATACAGAACATCTGCCTTCTAGTAAGTACATAAATCAAAGGCATCCCAAGTTTCCCTCACTAATGATGGTAACCTTGGACAAGTCTACATTAGGCCTGAAGAGATGATCTCAGACACATTCATTATTCGTTCATTCCTCTAAAGCATTCATTATCATTATAGGCAACCTGTCTGGTTTATAATGAGCGCCCTCAAATCAATAAAACCACAGTGGACAAGTTGGGGAAGAGAAAATGAGCAAATGATCTGCCTTCATTTGTGGAAAAGAGTTCAGCGCTTGTTTAGACAAATGGCTCTGTTCATCTCAGTGATGAAACCGCACAACTCACTGTGGTTAGGAGACTCAGTTGAGCCATATTTACATAAAGAGTTGACAGAGTTTGGCTGACAAGGTTAAATGAGAGGTAGATTGTCCCGTCTTTGCTAAGCAGCCCTGTGAACAGGAGCCTGGCTTCTTCGTTACCAACTTATATCAGGTACACCAAACCATAGCAAGTATCAGTCCTCAGTACACATATAATACGTGAAATGTACACAGTATGTAAACTTGATACCAAGAATAATAACAATCTTATTATGATTCATTAAAGCAATTCTACCACAAGAATCCCAAGGAGCACTTGGGAATCTCTCCAATGTAAATGATGCACTCCACTCAACCCTGAATCATATAGTGGGTCAAAGAGTTATCAAAATATGGGTGAAATTCAAGTTGCCTCACCAACTAACCCCCAAGTCACCAGTGAGTTGTAATACAGGGTTAGACTACTACCACACTTCCAAATTAGGGTCCACAGCAAAAGCGTAATGACAGTCTTTGAGGAAAATCCTAAGCCACTCTCTCTACCCTGGTCTGTCAGCTAGCCAGCTCCCTGAGAAGGAGTTTTAATTTCTTCACCCAACATAAGCAGAGTGGCCTGTCTCTAGCATGCCCAGACCTCACGATATACTGTGTGCGTTCACAATAAACCCTGTGTGTAAAACCACTTAATGCTTTGTTTTGACAAACACAGAGTAAGAACATGGAAGACTTGGGAGAAAAAACCCAGGCTCAACTTCTATATGTCAAGGGTTGCTTTCCGTACTGCTTTACAGTGTCAGGCACTGAGCTGTGTTTGTGTCAGACAGTGGCTCCCCCTGCTGCAAACAAAATAACCCGAACAAAAGGGAAGGAGGGAGAGGTGGGGTTAGTGGTTAGTGGTGGTGGTGAGGCAGTTCTCTTATTGACACAGTTTCTATCCAACGGCATCAAGAGCCTCACATCACACAATTTGCACCTTATCTAACATTATGCACATCCAGACCTGAAACGACACATGACCTCCTCAAGTTCAGAATCTCGCGACACTTTTTTTATCCAAAAGTCTAAGTTGTAATTCACGAGCTGATCACGTCTTTAGGAAAAACATGTTCGAAACCTGAATTATGTCAGAGGATTTAAAAACGGCATGCCAAAATACATGAGCAGTGATGTAAAATAAGGTAAAAAACATTTGTAAAACAAACGTCTGCAGTACACGCCTTAGGTAATTACATTATTATTGAATAATTTTTAATCCATTCAATTATTTTAATCCATGCAGAAAAGGTTTGTCACCACATTTCAGTAAAGACTGAAACAGGACAGAGACACACGCCGCAAAAACAGACCAGCAGTCTGAAGTCCACTCACCGACTGAGCTATGTAAACCGGGAAAGCCGGTATATTTCAAATCTCTGCTGTATGAATGACGGGCTGAGTTAAACTAAACATCACTTTTAGTTGTACTACATTAATGCTTCGGCACAGTAATGTACAAAACAAATATCGAAACAGATGTACTGCAGCTGTTACCACCGACAACACCGTTGTTGTTGTTGTTGTTGTTGTTCCTTCCTAAGGACTCGGGTGTTTCTTAACGTTAAAGCCCGTGCCGACAAGCAGGTGTAAAGTGCACGCGGAATAGGTCTTTTAAATGTGTGTCTGAGGAACTTACCACAGAGATGGGCTTCGTTCTTATGGCTGTCTACTGCTCAGGAAAAAGGACACCGAGTTCAATATCCTGCTAAGTCAAGCGAGTTTAGTCCGTATCACCTCCACGACTACTTCCATTCTGTGAGGAAAACTGCAGCAGGCCGATTTCATTTCGCCGACGTCAGCTCCAAACTGACTCCGCCGCCGGGGCGTGGCGCGGAAAGTTAGTAAATAACCCGGCCTTCATGAGGTGCGGAATAATCGGATAAATGAGTTTCAAAATGACAAAATTCACGTGAATGCCCCCTCAAGTCGGAACAACTCGGAAAGTGGGGCTGTTGGAAACAGCTATCAACATGTTTGTTTTAACGGTCTGAGCAATTAAATGCAGCACATCTTCTATGTAGCGTCTGTGTTGTTTCCACATGCCAACGTAATGCACATAAACTCACCGAAGTCGGAAGAACGACTTCCCAGCCCGGGAAATGGAACTATCCGAGGAGCACTTGAATGCAGCATACTCCTCCTAAAAGACGGGGGTGTTTCTGTCGGCCAACTGTACAGCATCTCACCCAGAGCAGGTAATGTCCCTTTAAGGGTGCTTCACGTCAACCAATCAACGGGTTTGTTTTTATCCAGCCCTCTCTATCGTGTATTCAGACACGTGGACGGGAAATTCCCAGTAGCACGAGACCGCTTTCACTCTACTACTGTGCTCATGTGGCCAGAAACCAGTGAACTGCTGTCACCGGGAGGCTTTTAGCCATGCAATGTATTTAAAGAAAACATAAAGGAATAGGCTACACAAAGCTACAAGTGTTCATAGATTATCGGATGTAATTATCCTCCATATCTAATGACATTTAAGAGTGATGAGTTTACAGAAACATTGTTTATTAATGAAAATATTCATGCCTTTGACTAAAGCTTATGTCGTCTTATGACAATACACTATGTATTTTCCTCTATAGTACTATGCTATTTCCTATTCCTATTATACACACTGGTGGCCCAAGTAATAGATTACAGTAATAATACAGAGTGACTTACTGTGGCACTATCATTTTGTGGATGTATATTCAGTGCATATTAGATAGATGGTTAGTTTTTTTTTTTCTTAAACGTGTCCTTGAGTGTTGTTGTGTTATTGTTTTTGGATTTATGTGGCCTGCTCATTAAACTGCCTAATATGACATTTTGCCAATTGATTTCAACTTTTGCCCATGTATATTTCATCATATGTTTTCACATCTAATTGTCAAATTTGATAAGTTTTTGAAGAACCCCAAGTATGTTCTGGTTAAATCAACAAACCTCATTGAGAAACAGTTATGACTTTTTATTCATTGCAGGTGGAAATGATCTAGATCCCACTGGTAGTGGCCTAGATCTTGATCAATCTAATTAGGCACCTGTAGCAGAGCACATGTGTGTAGGTTGTTTGTGTCACAAAAACAAACAGCTTTTTGATATAGATCAGCCTTGACACCATAAGTCAGGTCTTACAACAGTCATCATGAGATCACAGAAAAGGGGGAAGTGATTATTACTCTACACACTGTCTTAGAAACTTCAGAGTTGCAAATACATTAAGTCATGTAGCATCTAGAAATTGGGCAAAACTCAATCAAAAAAGAACTGGTTGTCCCACTGAATGTTAAAACACAAATATTGCAGACATCACAAACAAACTATATTTACTGCTGTAGGTTCAGATATTAATCAAGCTCAAGGGTGTTTCTCATTATATCTACAGTGTCCATGGAAGTTAAAAACCACAAACATTTTACAATGAAGTGTTAGACCTCCATGCATTTATTTATTTTCTCCCACTAGGTTATTTACAACGAGCACATTGCTTGACAGCTCGCCATGTCCACGCTGGGTTGATTGTAGCAGGCCTGTTGTTATGAAAGGCAGGGCAGGTGCTGGTGACCTGCCCCCTCCCCTCAGGGCTTTTACCGATCAATAAACCCTTGGACAGCTGGAGATGGGGCCGACATTCTGCATTCTCTCAGAGAGCATCACCCCACCCCCAACTCCTCTGGCTCTCTCCCTGTCCTTCAGCTGTGATCATGTCCCACCACTGAGCTGTGTGAGAAGTCACGGATCCTTGCTTCCTCTGTCCTGCCTGAATTGGATAGACTTCTTAGGTTTGGACTTTGTCCCACCTGTGGCCCATCCAAAGAAGTGGGGATGCACTGTGGAATGGGAGGGATTGGTTTCCTCACTCGCTGTTATACTGGAAACTTGATCACTTCTTGCATGGGTGAGCAGTGTAAACAACAAAAGACGCAAAGATGTGGGGGCATTAGTTGCATCTTCCTTTTCTCCAGTCTCCAACATTGTCAGTGGTGCTGTATGCTTTGTGGAAGCAAGTATTCATAAACAAGTTCCCATAGACGTCTGAGAACCCTGGGAGAGAGGGCAGGCATCAGTTTATGTTACATCAGAAAGCTGATTCTGAAGAGCAGTGTATGCACACCCACACAAACACACACACACACACTTGCAAAAGTGTGCGTGCACACACCCGTGCACACAATCATGCACAAACACACATGGCTGCACAATCACATGCCCTACTTCCTCTGTAACATCAAAAGCCCATTCTCCCTCTTGATATCTCATTCTCTATATGAATTTGCACAGAGATCTATCACAAACACACCAAAGACACACACACACCACAGACACACACACACACACACTCACTCACACACACACACACACACACACACACACACACACACACACACTGTACCCCATCAAAACATTCTCAGCATGTGAATCCTGCCTGGAAACTAGAAAGGAGGGATTTCATTTGCTCCAACTGGACATTTTCCATGGCAACCGCATCCTGACTGCGAGCCAGTTACATGAGACATGTGCGGCACACTGACCCAATGGCAGAGACCATACTGGAGCAGTGACCTGATAACAAAAGGGAGCTTGATTTCCTGCCCTCTTTGGCACTCCTCATGTCATCTTCATGGAGAAAGCCCTGAAGACACCCAGTAATCTTGTGCTGCTTTCCTTCATATCACTGTAATTCAGGCAGCATTTTGGGGATTTTCTGGTGAAATTTTAACTGGACAGCATGGCTAGGATCAGCAAAGTCTGATCGGCACTAGTATAGAAATATCTGACATCTGAAGCTGTATGATTAGTTTTGCACAAATTCACACACACACACACACGCATCCATGTAGGCATCCTTGTGTACCTCCTGTGGGAATAACCTTAGGTTTGTTTATGATGTCATCTGTTGTTTTTTTAAAGTTAAATAACCTGGGTAATGTATGCAATATATAACATTTTCCTCTACTCTCATGTCTATTGTATGTACTACCACCCAGATGGGGACAAATGCTTTCCTTACTGACTTGTATCTGTTATGGCAGTTTACACAGCAGTCACAAATGACAGTCAAATGAAGAGAAAACAGTCAGGAAAAGTGTGTCCGTCTTTCTACAGCCCCTCTCGGTTCCTCTCAGGTGATAATGGATTGAATAATGAAGAAGGTGTGGAGAGGTCGAGTGGGGTAATGTTGTGCTTGAACCAAACCTCGTTTAGAAAATTGTGAAGGTGAGACTATTTATGAAGACATGACACCTGATCTGACCACCATAACAGAGAGTGCTGACTCCTTTTGTAAGGGCTGTCTGGTAAACATACATCTTTGTCTGGCTGCAGACTGCTGACCAAACCATATACTCTCAAAGCGACTCAGGTACAAAGGCCCATGTTATTATCCCACATATAACACAAACTCAGAGAGTCAAAGAGAAATGCATACAACTAGCCAAATGTGTTTTCTCCTTGATGGATGGTTTAAAAATTCAATGTGTTTCAAGTTCAGTGAATGAGGTCATCACATGAGTGTAACCTACTGTAAGGGAAATCCTTCTTCTTTGTGTTTCCAGTAGTCTGGGTGATGACTGAAGACATCATCATCCTGAAATTTCCAACAAAACATAAGACTTGTGAATTTCTATATTTTTATTTCTGTCAACAAATCCCTTGAAAAGACAAACAGCAACAATGTACTGATCCAGCAAACAAGTATCGTCTGTGTATACCCCTGATATATCATTATATAATATTATATTATTATTCTTCTGTGTCATAGGATTTCATTATTGTCCAAAAACTATTAAAAGACATCAGGGAACCACACTTGTACTGGGCGACATGTTCCTTCATTACAATGACTGTGGGTAATTAAGTTTTTTTTTAGTCAATCACACGTTCTGCTAAATAGAAAGTAGTAGTAAGTAGTAGTGCAAGAAATCCACAAATTAAATAACAAATGCACGATTTACTTTTTTTGCTAAAAACTACAATGGACAGCTATTTAGCCTTAAAATGAAAAAATACAGGTATATTTGTGATTTTTTTTTTAAAAGTAGGCTAAGTTTGCTTTGGGCTGAGTAACACAGGCAAGATAGGGAAGCTGTAAAGCATTGAAGGATGGACTAACACATTGTTGGTTTTGGTCTTGCAGTGATATTTTTTTTACAATAAAAAAAAGGCTGGCAACATATATGATTAAAAATATAATATTATATAATACACCTGTCTGGTTTATCCTGCAAATTCTTTTTGGCATTATTGTAAATATAGGCATGACTAAGACAGTGATTTTTTTTTTACATAAGCCCTGTCAAGGAATTATTTGTTCTTGTTTGAATGACTGTTAAACCTTGGAAACCACGTCACTGGACTCCTGTGATGATTGTACGATGCGAACCGCAGAACCATGGTCCCTGTGTTAGTTCACAGTACATAGCTGAGACATGTTTATTTCACTCCTCTCTGTGGGAAAAGAGTCAGACTGAGACTTGAAACTATTGTGGCATGTGTAACGGCGCTACATACACTGAACTTTTGCTGAACCAACCACCATTTGATCTTCACTGCAGGCAACTGCTGCCCTCACGTAGCCCAGCCCTGCACGATACATCGTAGTGTAGACTATCCAGCACTTCACAGACTGCAGGTGATGCTTTCATGTCAAGCGAGAAGAATCAATTGAAACACAGAGGCCTGTCTTCAGATTTCTCTCAATAATTTCGCCCGTTGGCTACTGGAAGGCAGGAGTGGTCTCGAAGACTCTGGGCTT